TAGATTTCTATTGCTGTTTCTTGTAGTCTTTAACTAGAGCAATAAGGTTAACTTTTTGGTAATGTCCTTTGCTATAAACGTGCTCCTTATCACTTCTTCTATTGTATTGCAACACTGTAAAAGTGAGGATCTGGATCAGTATACACTGTATTTATACTAATATTTATAGCTATACTTATTTCAATATATTTTCCTATTACAAATTCACCCACTCGTTCCTTTATCAGTCAACCTCAATACTTTACTACATATTCTTCGTTATATTAACGTTAAATATTATTTTAATATTTTTGCGACTTATCAATCGAATAGAAACTTCCAACATTTGTTTCTTGTTAAAGCTTAATTATTTAGTACGTGCTGATGTAGCCTATAAGAAATTGTTACTAATTCGCTATCGAATAAATGCAACATGTTTTTTTCAAAGTGATATCTTCAAGTCGACATTTATGAAATTGAATCGGATTGCATCTTTGAAACGGCTAGAAATGGAAAACAACGTCACGTGCCCAAATAAAATGAAACGAAGCACATTTTGCGGTTAATTTTAGGCATCTTTTGTGCGAAAATCGCAGTTGCACTACCTTTTCACGGTGTCTTGCAACAGACTGGTAACATCAAAAGAGATCTGCTGCGCTATTTGCTAACTATTTAGTTGTCGTTATGCTGGTCGAAAAATCGATATACCGACGCTATTACATTTTCAGATAGGGAAGGCCGGAAAGGAGATGGTGAAACGAGAGAGAGAGAGAGAGGCAAAGAAAGAAGGCAGGGAGACCGCAACTTCACAAAAGCGAGATTCATATTCCGCTCGGAGAAACAGCGGCATTCGGAGCAGAAAATAAAATCTACGGGGGTCGTCCCGTCCACGGAAACGGACGCTGCATTCACGGGAACGTTCCTCGTTTTCGTCTCATAACTTCCTCCTTCCTGAACTCCTAACCGACTCTTTCCACCGGCCGTGTCACATCGCTGACCCTTCCTGCACTTAGCCGTTCTAAACCAACCGGCAAACTTCGTGATATGCATTTGAAATGCCGCCACTGAGATATGAAATTTTCCTTCAACTAGCTGCAATCAGATTTTCTTCTCACAATAATCGCTAAGGACAGCTACATACTGAATGTTCTACGATAATGTTGCGGGGGAACGGTGCTCTGCCTTTCACAAAAGTTATTTAAAGATCGTTTATAATACGAGGCACCTGATATTATCATCTTGATTTATATCAATATGAAACCATATGATATAATATCGGGTGTCTCGTTTACATATTTTAAGTCACTTCGATTTGGTTAGAACGCAAACCGATCGTAAGAGCCAAGGACGATATTTTCCAGTCACGCTATTCTCGGCGTTAATCCAATGAAAGCTTGGTCGATATTTTAAGGATAACGAATAATTCTCTGTCAGGCTGAGAGAACGCAGCAACGGAACAGAGAGATATGTATAATTTGGCGAAACAGACAAATATGTGTAATTTAGCGAAACAGAGAAATATGTATAATTTAGCGAAAACAGGAATAGGGTCGGTACCCGTGATGTTCTGTACAGTTACGACACAAGAACCTGATTGTGTAGTTACATTCATCGTGCAATGTATGTACGTTTACAATTGGAGTGGTTTGCAAGCCGGCTATCAGGGAACACGCGGCGTAACTATCAGCTAATCAGTCGCCCCAGCTAGCTCGATGTAAGACGGAACGCCTCTTATCCGATGATCCGTCTTTCCTTGAGACATAACAGGGGCTAAGTATACTCGATCAAGCTTCCGTCACGTCGGACCGTGTGATAAATCTTCTGGATTTGTGTGTGTGTGTGTGTATTATTTTTCTTGCGGTTTAATAAATTTTATTATAATTTTGATGCAAACTTTCAGTGTAATATTTAGACTACAAATATGAGAAAGTTACACACATACTGATGTTGTTTATTAGAAAAGTTTTGTCTTACTAATCTTTATGAGATTACTATGATTATTGACCAATATCTGCATCAACAAGATTTCCAATAAGAATACCGTTATGAATTGCACTACATTGCTTACAAACTATAATAGTTTTCATCAGATATAGTTGAGTTAATCGTCGAAGTTCAAGCATGGTCGATATACAAATAGGATATGGGAATCCCGAACACATTGCCACAGTCTAAGTTTCGGGTCTATACAAATTGAACGTAACCGGTCATATCTTAGAAACGTGATCTGGCTGGCTAAACTGAAAACTGTCTAAATTTGTACACGTGCTAGATATGCTTAATTTTGTTCAAGCAACCGCTCAATTTTGATTCGGCTGATGCGATATACGCAAAATATATATTGTATTTGCATCGCTGATCAAGAACTGGACGTATGCATAAATTATAGAAATATAATTTTGGTAAAGAGGGCATTTGCGTTATGTATAGCTAGAAATATGCCAATTCAAATGCTAATGCGAATTAACGGGAGTGTAAATAGCGAGATATAACGACGTAAACGACACAATTGATACACATTATTTGGATTAAAGCGAGGTTAAAAAAGCTGAAGCTTTATATACAGGCTGTGTGTATAGCCTGCACGAGCACTCGCATAGTAATGGTCGATTAAAGGATGGAAGGATGAACTTTCCGAGTCAGATATTATTTTGGAAAACCGGGACAGAACTCTTAAGCAAACACGGTTTCGTAAACTACCTCTTTCAGCGATCCGACCACTTTTAAATCAAACAAAAAGACCATGTTGTTTGGCCACTGTTTGCCTACTTTCATTGAGACTTTAGAAACTTCGAAAATCCTCCTATACATAAGCACTCGAATTGATATCTATTTAAAAAGTAAGTGCTGCAAAGATATATATATATTTATTTTAAAAAAAGGGAGGGGGAATTAGCAGCGTGTATCTAACGAAGCAACCTTAAAATTTACCTATTAAAAAATCCATGATTTTCATTATTGTTTAACACTTTCCCCATATTAATCTGAAATTTTTTCCCGGCAAAATATTTTTAGTTTTAAGCCGAAGAATTAATCAAATTTCCTACAGATATCTGCTGTATTGAACTGTCTCCTATATAAATGATTCTAAAGGCTTCGAAAAAGATGGTAGTTCAAAGGCGTCTAATCGGCCCGGTGAATCAGTCATTAGTAAAGACTCGTTACTTCCGAACTAAACTGTCTCAGGTTTTAGAGCATCCTTTTTACTGTCTGAGCAAATGATGCGTTTCTTCAGCCTGTCCAGCAGTTCAGGTTTTTCGCAATGGTTCGATTTTATGATAAAAGAACGTAGTATACATATAACCGTATGCGTACTCCACCGAACCAAGAACAAGATTTTCTTCCGAATAGTGTCTTTATGTTGGCTATAGAAATAATATCGTATTGCTGTCAGCCCTTCCTTTACGCGACTCGGTAACTATGGATAACTTTATTACAAATTTCAAATATTTAATTCGTACAATTGCTTCAAACGATTATATTCAATTGTTGAACATTCCTCTTACAAATATTAATCCAATCCGACGGAGAATATTCAATTTCATTCCTGTTAGTATAATAGGTAATTTTACAATTATTAATCGGATTCAAGAATACTTCACTCGTTTGTAATTATTGTAGGTATGGGATAATGTAATTTATATAAAGCTATATACACGTATTTCCCAAAATGTTGTATTTCCATAGAATTATTATATTATCTGCTAATAAGAGAAAGATAATGTTTTTATTTAAATTACATACACATCTCGTAGGTTAAATATTAGTTGAAAAGAGCCAATAGTAATGGCAAACAATGAACATTGAAAACCTAAACGAGAGATCCTTTAATTACATTTAACTCGGCAGTTACAAATGTTTTGCTTCCGCGAAAACTTTAACCGTGGCATAAAACAGACTTGCTCGAAGGCATATCAAATGAAATGAATATTTGGTACGTGCAATAGCGAGTTTCAAGTTGTTGAGATAACATTAAGAGAAAGTACTCAAATAAGGAAATTGTCGTTTGCAAGATTTAATAAGAATTGTTCACAGACCACGAATTTTTTATTCGTACAACTCCAATTAAGCTAAATGCAAGAATATTCAGTTACAAATAATTTAATTTTAATTACAAAAAACTTTCGTAAATTTCGCGCAACGAAGATGTTCTTAATTTTAAGATTATTCCATTTTTCATCAAATAAGCTGTCACGTGCATACATTATTGCGACCAGCATAATTTAGCATACGAATCGCTGTTACATCTGGATCGCCATGAAATCGTGTCTTTTGCCCAATAATTTATTCAAAATTCCCAGTCTCTACCCTCTGTAACTTCCATCTGCACGAAATGTATGTATAATGCAAGTTCTAGTCCCGACTTCACGTAGCTTTTTTCAGAAAGGAAACTCGAAGTACCACCGTATCGTACGTTCAGAGTACCATATGATAATTCGTATTTACGTTATCAATTTTAAAACAAATATTTTGACAAGATTGATCAAAAGCGGACAATTGATTTAATTGAAAGCGAAGTATCAATTACTTAATGGTATTTATGCAATGAAATAAGTTATACTCCGTTGAGTTCTGCATCAACTATAATAGGTAAAATGTAGGTGAAATAGGTACTTCTTTTCCTTTCTCATTCTTTAAGAAAAACTGTACACGGAGAACTAATTTCTTTAATGCAAGATAAAATAAAGAGGAAGTTTTATTTATTTTGACTAACTTATATACTTGCAAGATAGATAATAGTGTGAAAAATTGAATTTGTCAATGGAATTTACAAATATGTCGTATTAATTACATACGTTCCTTAAATTATTGTATTTATTGAATATTATATTAGAATGCAATAACGTAGAATAATGTGATAGCAATCGAATAATTTAAAAAGGAACATTAGGTCAACCAAAGAAAGACACGATACATCTTCATATTCTTATTGAATCCGCGTATCTTGCAACGTACGTTGCATTTATATTGTAAATTGAAATGCATCGTATATTTAAAGTGATTTAAATAATAGTACTCACTCGGATCGAATACGACGGATATTGAAATGATGAAACGTCAGCTTGACAATTTCGTCGGGTTGACCGATAAACGTGTAAAGCAGGCAATCGATATTTGACGGATATCGTTTGGGATAATAAGGGGATGTGAACGTGCCACCTTGAGGTTTGTCCGAGCTGCTGTAGACGACGCAAGAGCAACCTGCAACAGATATTTCGTAATCATTGCATTAACGTAAACATAAACGATCAAAATAGCACATAGAAATACAAAATTCATATAATCTGGATAAATATGTCTTTACCCTAAATCTTTACCCTAATGGGTATGTAAGATTTACGATAAAGGAAATACGATAAGAGAAACAGAAAAGTCTATTTCTACGGAATCTACGTGGAACCATAAATTACAACTATCAAACGTTTCGTGACACGCGTATCTTGTTTCAAGTTTTCGGCAAGCTACTTCTAATCATAGTTCGGACTATTCGAATATACCGAATTCTCGTACTATACATACGAAATATTACGCTAGATAAAACGATAGGAAAAATTGTTTGACCTAATATAATGCACGAAATTGAAGGTTGTGTAATTTCTCATGTGTGAGTCAAATGTTTCAATTTTTTAAATTCCTTTCATAAATTCATTAACAATAACAGTACTAATTTGTTAGTACGAACAGTGCACTTTTAAATTCTCTGGTAAGTAAAATACACTTGTACAAAAATAAAAAAAGGTAAAAAATCCGGTATGTGTATGTAGACTTTCCTGGCTGGCTGTAGAAGTAGATAGTTCGATATTACACATATTGTATAACGTGCAATAAAATGGAAATCGTGGGAGAATTTTTAATACTATGCATACGTGAAAGGAATCGAACAAAGATATTCCACGGTAATGAAATCCACCATCTGACAGTATGCCAAAAGTAACGCTTCGGTCTAAAGTCCGAAACTTTTCTTATTCCCAAAATGAACTCGTCACTTTTCCCATCGATCTTACCCCCCTCTCTTATACCCTCGCCACGAGTATAGAATCGACCCTACGTCAATCTCGAAGAATCAAATTAAAGTTTGACTTCTCTGTGAGGAAACGTACCGCAAGAGACCCGTAACTTTTCTGCGAAACTTTCAGCAACAAAATCACTGATTGCCCGGACAGATGGTTCAGTGGTTAATGATCGATCGCGAAAAGTCGCGTTAGCCACGTTGGACCGGCGGTTGCATTTCCTATTTAGAGATTGCGTCCAACGATCCAAGTCAATAATCTCTGGGAACGAAGCTACGAAAGAATTTCCGTTATCTGTCAAAGCGTTAAGCTCGCATCGCAACAGCGATTTAATTTCCTGTTGCACCATTTTCTTCTACCTTAGCTAGACTAAAGCAGGCTCAACGTCTTTGCTTTCCAAACGAATCGACAAAGAGTGCGGAAAATCGGGTGCTTTTTCAGTTAAATAACTGAGCGACGCTGGAACTGTAATTGTTATTGTTATTGTTATTGTTATTGATACTGCTGCTGTTTTGTTTTTGTTACTGTTGCGGTTTTGTTATTGTTGTGACTGTTGTTATTGTTATTGTTATTGTTAGTGTTAGTGTTTAGTGTCTAGTGTCTAGTGTCTAGTGTCTAGTGTTTAGTGTTTAGTGTTTAGTGTTTAGTGTTTAGTGTTTAGTGTTTAGTGTTGTTGTTATTGTGTGACTATTGGTATTGTTGTTTTGTTTTAGTTGTTGATGTTGTTATTGGCTTGATTTTGTTGTTGTTGTTGATACTGTTGTTGTTTTTGTTGTTGTTACTATTATTATTATTAAGCAGTCTTCCTTGGTTTTAGGCGTTTAAAATGCTACAGTTGTTAGTACTACGAGGTAACACTATATAAAAATTACGTACTTTTCTCTACAGTCTTAACTTTAGCTCCTCGAAATTCTTGCTTTTCTTTCGTGACAAAAAAGGATTTTGATACTGTGAGAAGATGTTTGACGTCCAGTCAAATCGGGATGTCATGTACACTAACAATACCTTCTTTATATTTTGTTCAAAGTGTAAATATACTTTTTAATGATTGACAAATACAATTGGGTCGGAAATGATCCGAAGGATGTAGCAGGATTAAAGTATACGAGTATCAACAACAGTATGAAATGTCTTTCTAAACATATAGCGATTACATCAAGAAAATAATTATCTAGTAGGTATCTTTAAATCGTAATTTTGAACACCGTCTGAACGTCACGTACACCTCTTAAACATTTTTAAGACGTAGACTTGCGATAATATCAACAAAAAGAACGCTTCGGACGACATTCAATTTGATCAATGAATTACACGTAATAGTTTGTTAATCTTCGAACGTTTAATAAGCTAACAGATCTCGTCTGCGCATTTCTCTTCCGTGATATTACTCCGTCGAACAATATTTCTCTATCAGTTTATCGATTTTCATTGTGGTTCATATAAGATAGTTATCGGATAAGCCAGAAAAACCCTATCAAAGTTCATGGTCCAGTGTTATCAACTGTATACCGGTCGAGCAAGATAGAAGGCCGCTTTGGTGCGACCCACGAAATGTGGGTCATTACGAAGGCTCGTCGATACGGGTGCAATAATTTATCCGCAACAATATCACCGACCGTCTCTGCGATTAGTTCGCGTCGACCAGTTGGCGAGCGCAGTTCCGTTGATTATTTCTGCGAACGTGATCCATTACGAAGCGTATAATTCGTTCAAGAGAACACGATTAAATCCCAGTGCGCCGATTTAGAAGAATCCCATTCTAATAGGATCGATTGATTAGTGACAGGATCAAGTGTGTACAGATCAGTGTGTACTTACAAACACGATTCAAAACCAATCATCCAAGGTTCGCTTCGGAAGTTTCGAATACGACTCATGAGATATAACGGTTCCGTTCATTGTAGCATATGCCTTATTTTGCGCTTTGAATGTCTACATTAAAATCAAACGATGCCCACTGAAACTTAGTCAACAATAAAAAAAATTGCAAATGGTACTGGTACAGAAATGATTAACATTAATGAATCAAAAACGAATTTTGTTTTCTGATGATAATCGTTTGTCGTCGTATGGAACGTGTTATACAAAACTGTTCGAAATACAGTGGCGGACAGAAGAAGGTTTAAAATTCATACTTATCTATAATAGCTACACTACATCGTTACTGACTTTGTACTAAACATTGTTTACCATATTGATAGCACTCATATATATGTATAAGATTTGTTTATTCAGAAATATTAGAAATTAGGGATTCCAATGTTTTCTACCCTAAATGATAAGTTTATTGATAGATGGGTCTACTTACAATGGATTAAACAGGAGACGATGGTTATCTGACATGAACTAAATACAGTAATGTGATATAACTAAGACAACTAAATGGATAATTCACAACTCACAATTAATAGTTTACAACTCATAACAACTTGGCAACTCAACTTTCGACTCCTCACAACTCGACTCTCAGTTAACGACTGCCTGTTAATTCCTCTTTCTTCCTTAAGCATCCCCTTGTCTTTTCTCATAGCCCCACCACGTACGTGTCCCATAACCTTTCACGGTCATGGTCACGTAGGCCTTCTTCCGCCTAACTATTCCACTGAAGGATCGACAACACATTGGTGGGCCGCTCGCTCCACTGAAGTTTCCAGACTCTTTTGGTCTGTCGGCACTTAGGCTTTCTCGCGACATTGTTTATGGTTCACTCGATATTTCTTAGGCAATCTGTCCACGATACTATACTTATAGATCACATATATTCATAATTTAATAGTTCTTGTTAGATATAATTCTACTTTCTAAACGGAATGTTTTTGTACGTTGAATGTTTCGGCTTACCCTTACTTTTGACCACCTCTGTATTTACTGGAGGATCGAATCTAAGTGGCCAATCTTCGAACCCACCTGTGCAAGTTACTCAAGCCCATCGATAGGCCAATTACTCGAAAAATACCGAATACGAAGGATTCGTCCAATACGGCGGATGTCGCGTTTCAAGTGACGCGTATTAATCATGCTTCGTACAGTTTCAGAAGAGTTTCAGTAAATTAGCAAAAACCGAGTTCCTAATTTGGCTTCTCTTCTTTCCCGCTTTGCTTAATGGCGGCTGTGCGCTCTCCTCTTTTCCTTCGTCCCTATGTTCTCGCATCTCTTTACCCGTCGCCGTTCCTCTTTATTTTCTCATTTCCTCTATTTTCTTGCCTCCACTTTGGTCTCTCTTCCGCCGCCCCTTGCGAACTCTCTTGCCACTAAAGCGGGACGCAGTTACACCTCGGCTGTACCTGCACGATCGCGTTTGCCCCGACTCGCGATCCATTCAGTGACATCTCCGCTCGCTTTGACGCATCAAATATGAACGGGAGACGCGTACTCCCGCGTTATAAAATACACGCCGCCCGGAATTTATCAACGTCGCGACCCACGCTCTTTTCGTTTCGCACGGCGAATTTCAAAGCGCACTCTGTGATCCCACCTGTCTGCCATCGACGTTCCCCAAGGCTTTGTTTAAAGGTCGACTTTGCTGAAAGGTCGACTACCGTTCGACAGTCAGTCAAAATGATCAATTGTGGAGAAGTAGTGGCTGTGCCTCACGATAAATCATATTACTGCGGGTAAACCGTCCCTGTTTTATGAAACGTATATTTAGTAGCTACATAAAAGGAGAAATTGATGGAATATACGATATGAAAAAGTCGACTTTTTAGCATATTTATAAAAGAATCGATCATTCGAAATTCCACGTTTGCCTTGAAGTAACGAATTGGAATGTTCAAGAAAAATAATGTTCACGAATAAACGCAATTATTTCCGTTGAAGTAATTACATCAAGAAAAACTCTACATCTTTACTTTTATCTACCAAATGTGCAGCTAGGCAAATTGTAAAGTACAAATTAAATAATAATAAAAAAAATCTTTGCTTTTGTATATCAGTGACCTGGAGACTCCTATTACGATGAGAATAGAAAATTTAGTGAAACAAAAAATTCATAATAAAGAGAGGTCCGTATTATTGTGCCCCTGAATATAAATTATGTTTTGGGTTACGATGTCTAGAAACAAAAGAGCTGTAAGTAGATTTCTATTGCTGTTTCTTGTAGCTTTCAGCTAGAGCTACAAGGTTAACTTTTTGGTAATGTCCTTTGCTGTAAATATATGAACCTGCTCCCTATCGTGGCTTCTTCTATCG